AGCAAAAATGAGAGAGCAACTCTCAGTGAGAGTGACTCTCTTCAGTCCGAAGTAGTCAGATTTAGTCAGAAGAATTTTTTCTGGTAAAAGGTGCAATCCCGTATTCCTCGGACTCGGACTAGTAAAACTGTCAAAAAATAAAAATTCGCTCAGAGCGAGAGAGTAACATTGAAAAGTACGGGATCGCTTTCTAGTAAAAAATGGTAACTTCTGTCAACTTCAACATAACTTCCAAATTTTGGTTATAAATTTTTGCTTATTTTGTATGTAAACACACTCAGCTCAAAAAAAAAGTGAATTGAAATTGGAAGGAAGCAAAAAATAATTGATATAGTGTTTTTGTGCTTGTGCTTGAGTGAATGTGTTTTGTACATACATTTCCATTCTTATTTGACGTTAGTGTTGTTGTTGCCATTCTTTGGACTAAAAATTTGTTTTTTTGCGTTCCTTTACTTTTTTCTGTTATTCTCTGAACCTAATATTTGTATCATGCTTTCTGTCACGATTGAGAGAATACAAAGGTTGCGCCGATTTCGGACCGCTATTCCTCTCTTAACGAATTTGACAGAATCGTTGTTTGCATGACTTCACACTTGTGCAACATGTTTACGTTTTCCTTGCAACATTTTTTCTTCTTCTTCCATTCTTGTTCACGTTTTGGCATTTCTCTCTCACAATTGCACCAGTGTGACGTCAAACACAAAAGTTATTCTCAAAAATCCTCTCTGATCGGAGCAATCTTGTATTCTATCCAAGGCAAGGCGCATCAAAACAAGGTGGTGTTGATTGATCAGCTGGTTGGATATTTTTGTCTCTACACTAGTACAGGAGAATGTCATCCAAGACGAAGTGGCGCAACTTTAGGATGTCAACAAAAGAAAATGATGAAAATTATCTCCTATTCCCTTTCGTTTTGACATCCTCCTGTACCAAAAAGCAATAACGAAATACACGGGACTTTTACTTATATGCAATCAACACCACCTTGTATGGATGCGCTTTGATCCAAGGTGTATTAAACAAGGTGTGATTGACAGCTCAGTGCGGGTCTCTTTTAAGGTACTATAATGTCAAAAAGTATAAACAAACGAATTAACCCTTAGTGATGCATGTATCTTATCAGCACTGATGTCCTAGGCTTTTATTTTGATTATAGTTTTGTTTTACTTACATTACTTACATCACATATATTTTGTCAAAAAATAAAACAAGTTGTTTATAAAATCGTTTTATCAATTTTCTTGTTTTTAATTGTCCTAGTTTTATGCTTTTGCGCGTTTATTTTTATATTTCAATTTTTTATCCTAAGCATTATTCGATACTTATAAAAGTATGATTTTACATTTTTTACCAATTTTATATGTGAGCTTAACTCAAACAATTTTGAAATTAAATTTTTTTCATGTGAACTAGTTTTCCATTAAAGACCTTGCTTCGAGCGGTTTTAATTTAAGCTCTTCCATACTTGCTTGCATGGTTTAATTATTTCGGTAAGCCGAAATATTTCTGTTCGCAACGTGCATTCTAAAGAGTCGTCTGTTTGAGTTTGGGCATCAAAAAAGAATGTATCCTGATCGTGTACTAAATCCTCACTTGTATCAGTTTTTCCGTATGGCATTGGGACTGCGCATGGGTATAAACGAGCTTGTTGGAAAGTGTTTGATTTGCACATCACTTTCCTTGAAGTGGTTTTCACAAACGCGAGATGAATCACGTAGTACAACACCAAAGCTTTCTTCCCATCGCTGCCGTCTTAATTCGCAACTAGGTGGCTTAAAACAANCAGGAGAATGTCATCCAAGACGAAGTGGCGCAACTTTAGGATGTCAACAAAAGAAAATGATGAAAATTATCTCCTATTCCCTTTCGTTTTGACATCCTCCTGTACCAAAAAGCAATAACGAAATACACGGGACTTTTACTTATATGCAATCAACACCACCTTGTATGGATGCGCTTTGATCCAAGGTGTATTAAACAAGGTGTGATTGACAGCTCAGTGCGGGTCTCTTTTAAGGTACTATAATGTCAAAAAGTATAAACAAACGAATTAACCCTTAGTGATGCATGTATCTTATCAGCACTGATGTCCTAGGCTTTTATTTCGATTATAGTTTTGTTTTACTTACATTACTTACATCACATATATTTTGTCAATAAAATAAAACAAATTGTTTATAAAATCGTTTTATCAATTTTCTTGTTTTTAATTGTCCTAGTTTTATGCTTTTGCGCGTTTATTTTTATATTTCAATTTTTTATCCTAAGCATTATTCGACACTTATAAAAGTATGATTTTACATTTTTTACCAATTTTATATGTGAGCTTAACTCAAACAATTTTGAAATTAAATTTTTTTCATGTGAACTAGTTTTCCATTAAAGACCTTGCTTCGAGCGGTTTTAATTTAAGCTCTTCCATACTTGCTTGCATGGTTTAATTATTTCGGTAAGCCGAAATATTTCTGTTCGCAACGTGCATTCTAAAGAGTCGTCTGTTTGAGTTTGGGCATCAAAAAAGAATGTATCCTGATCGTGTACTAAATCCTCACTTGTATCAGTTTTTCCGTATGGCATTGGGACTGCGCATGGGTATAAACGAGCTCGTTGGAAAGTGTTTGATTTGCACATCACTTTCCTTGAAGTGGTTTTCACAAACGCGAGATGAATCACGTAGTACAACACCAAAGCTTTCTTCCCATCGCTGCCGTCTTAATTCGCAACTAGGTGGTTTAAAACATCGCACTATTTTCGTGTCCTGACTTTTATTGCATCGTTTCATCTTGGTTTCCTTACATTAAATATTTAAGCAAAGTCGAACGTATTTACTTATTACCAAACTTAAATGTACTTACTTGCTCTTCTCGGCGGTTTATCTCTTAACAATTTCACGTTTATTAAGAAAATTTGCTTTGCTTGAAAAATTTGTGTGTATTTTTTTTTTTAATTCAAATTTGAAAAAAAACACATTTTCAAATGGGTTAGCAATTCATTTCAATTTGACATTATAGCCTGTTTCTTATGAGAGCAATGCCAAAATTAATCACACTTTGTTGAATACTCACTTGGCTTTTTGTTGCTACTCACTTTTTACTCTCACTTCAGAGAGTAATTTTTCTGTTTGACAATTTTACAGGATTTTTCACGAAAAGTATTGGATCAGAGCCAAAATGTATTCAATAAAGTGTGATTGATTTTGACATTGCTGTCATAAGAAACTGGTTATAATGTCAAATTGAAATGAATTGTTAACCCATTTGAAAATATTTTTTTTCTAATTTGAATTGGTTATAAAAAATGTACACAAACATTTTTCAAGCAACAAATTTTCTTAATAAACGTGAAATTGTTAAGAGATAAACCGCCGAGGAGAGCAAGTAAGCACATTTAAAGTTTGGTAATAAGTAAATAACGTTCGACTTTGCTTGAATATTTAATGTAAGGAAACCAAGATGAAACGGAGCAAAACCTTTGAACGGTGCGCTGTATGCAATAGAATTCAGGGCACGAATATAGAGCGATGTTTTAAACGACCTAGTTGATTCATCTCGCGTTTGGGAAAACCACTTCAAGGAAAGTGATTTCATTTGTTGTCCGTCCGAGTCAAGCACTTTCAAACGAGCTCGTTTATACCCAAACTATTTCGTAAGAAAAAAAAATTTAATTTCAAAATTGTTAGAGTTAAGCTCTCATATAAAATTGGAAACAAATGAAAAATAATACTTATATAAGTGCCGAATAATGTTTAGGATAAAAAATTTAAATATAAAAATAAACGCACAAAACCAAACATCTTGGGCAATTAAAAACAAGAAAATTGCTAAACGATTTGATAAACAATTTGTTTTATTTTATTGACAAAATATATATATTCCAGGTAATGTAAGTAAAACAAAACTATAATCAAAATAAAAGCCTTGGTATCAGTGCTGACAAGATACATGCATCACTAAGGGTTAATTCGTTTGTTTATACTTTTTGACATTATAGTACCTCAAAAGAGAGCCGCACTGAGTTGTCAATCACACCTTGTTTAATACACCTTGATCAGAGCTATAAATTTTTTTATCGGCTGCATGTGCCCCAAATTTCTGGGAGTAGGTAACTTTTGCAAACGTTTTTTATCTCAAAAAAGTAAAAACATGTCAATAAAGGCTGCACTTATCGACTTAAGTGGCACTTTACTCCCAAAGCTGTAGATGCATTAAAACGGTATATGCAGAACATAATATGATAATAAATATAAAATTATCTTTGTTAAGACTGGCAGATTACGTGAGACTAATATTCAAATCAAGTTTGTGACGAATACTACGAAGGAGTCAAGAAAAACACTATATGAACGATTACAAAAGATCGGTTTCGAATTGGAAGCACATGAGATTTTTAGTTCATTAAGTGCAGCGGCAAATTATGTTGAAAAGGAGAAACTTAATCCTTTCTATTTGTTAAGCAATGACGCGCGTACAGACTTTGGCAGAAATGATGGTTCACTTCCACTGGACTCGGTAGTAGTTGGATTAGCTCCGACTGAATTCTACTATGAGAACTTAAACAAAGCTTTCAAGTAGGTTTTCGTTTTTATGCTGTATAAGCACTCATCAGGTTTTTATATGCAGTTTGCTTATTGCTAACAAGAATAGCCGACTTGTTGCCATACATCAAGGCAAATACTATAGAAGAAGCGACGGTCTGGCACTGGGTCCCGGAGCTTTTATTAAAGGATTAGAGTACGCAGCTTCCGTCCGTTCTGTACTAATAGGAAAACCGAATGAATATTTTTTTCGAAGTGCCTTACCAGGAGGCATATGCCCAGAAGAATGTGTCATGATAGGAGATGTAAATACTGTGACTTGTTTCGTTCTTAATTTTCTGCGATAAAATTTTGTTTAATGCATCCATTCGTATATATTTTTGCCTTTACAGGATCCTGAAGATGATATAGCAGGTGCGATGCAGTTGGGGTTAAAAGGAATACAAGTGAAAACTGGAAAATATTTACCAAATGTAGTGGTTGATCCTCCGCCGACTGCTCTGGTTGAAAATTTCTCAGAGGCTGTTGATTGGATAATAACTGAGAATTCTGAGACACAATAAAAAAGGCTATGTACTAAACATTAAGCAAAATAATTACTAAACATCATTACTTTTGGTTTGGTTTGATCTAGTCCTGCGCCCCACTAAACTGGGCTCGGAAGTCTGCTCATCTCTACGCACATGCATACGTTATGGATTTTGTACGTAGCCGGAGTTGAACGAATGAGGGTTATTTTTTCTAAGAAAAAGTACTGTAGTACATAAATGATCAGAATGAAAAGAGAAATCGATTAAGCAGTGACTGTCCGTCCGTCCGTCTGTGCACACAATAACTCGAGTAAAAATTGAGATATCTTAACGAAACTTGGTACGTGCCCTTATATCTGGCGTAGNGACGGACGGACAGACAGTCACCGCTTAATCGATTTCTCTTTTCATTCTGATCATTTATGTATACATTTGTCTATATCTATCTCGATTCGTTTTGCCTGTTACAAACAACCGTTATGTGAACAAAGTTATAATACCCTTGTGCACAAGTGCGCTCGGGTATAAAAATTGATACACCCCAGTTTACCATGTAGCGGTAGCTCTCGGAAAGGTGAAAAACATATATTTAATACTTGCGCCGGGTGTTTAATGTTCGGCTCCGCCCGAACATAGACTTTCTTACTTGTTTGTTTTATGGGTCGATTACGGATAGCAACGCAACCACAGTTCGGTTGCCAGCTGGCAACGCAACTGGAAAGAAAATTTGTATTACGAATGGCAATTATCGTCAGTTGCTGTAGAGTTATCGATAATCGAAATTTAACAGAGCGACAACCAGCAAGCGGCTGTAAACAAGCTGTGCGAGTAAAATTAAATTATTTAAATAAAGAGTTTTAAAGAAAAGACAGCAATAAAGCTAACTTCATCACAATTATTTATTTTATAGGAAGAGAAGTGCATGAACGCGGCCTCAATCAGGCGACATTTAAAGGATAAATCCAATCCTCTAGAGCTACCGCGTGCACTGTAAGCAAAAGTTAATGCTTTCAAGGTTTTTCTTTTATTATCGTTTTGTGTTCATTTTCAAAGCATATTGAGGACTTCCAAAAGGAGCTGTAGTATAATTGGTTAATAAACAGATGAACCTCTTCGTTCAACTTCAATACCTCCGCTCATAAAAGCTTGCGCACCTCTTCGTTTTTTCGCAGAAGGAAGTGCCACGGCAATGACTTCAATTTGGAAAACTTGGTGTGTCGGGAGTTCTAAAAGAGGTGCTTCAGTCGATAAAGGAAACAATTTGCAATCAGTGTTCGCTTTTGTTTCGCCAAAGGGCGTACTCCTCAGGAATTAAAATTTCAAGTTATTGTTTTGTTATTTTTACCATATTCTGTAAAAGCAAACTGCATTGCAAAATGTTAGTATCGTTCAAATTATTAAAAAGTGAAATATATGACACACTTTTCAATTTTTGCTCCTAAATACGCTCCAAAAACATTCCTAGCAACCACAAAAATGTAGTCGCCTGCATACACACTTTATAGCAACTGCAGTTGTCAGTTGAAAGTTGCCAGTTGCTATCTGTAATATCGTTTTGGCAACTAGCAACGTAACTGAAGTTCGATTGCTATCGATAATCGACCCATTATATATTAGGTCAAAGTTATATATTCGCAATCGCGTCAACGCCCCCTTTCTTCTGAAATAAATTTTATACCGTTCTCTTGGTGCTAGGTAACTAAAGATTTCCAAATACTTAATACATTAATTCTCGCAGTCTTGCAAAGCCCTTGCAAGGTGCACGGATTGCATAGTTTACAAAGCTGTCCCATAGGAATACTGGTTTTACCGTGCAATCCATGCACAGTACAAGCGCTTGGCGAGACTCCGAGAATACCCCTATACATTTGTAAGTTGTTGTTGTAACCATAGTGAAATATTATTATTATTATTAAAGGAAAAGAAGAGGACACTTCTTTACCGGAAAAAGGAGCGCTAGTATGATCACCTTCGGCTCGCTCATTAATATATATATACATATGTTCAGTACTTACATTAACCTAAATTGCTTCTTACAGATAATTAAGACTAGATTAATTTCTTAAGATTCGTTAACCTAAGGAATTCATTAATATTAGATATCGATTCAATGTCCTGGTTTTTCAATAACTTGGATGCAAAGTTGTTGAAGATGCTAGCTCTGATTGTAGCGAAATGCTGACATCTGTCGAGGAGATGAGTTACGGTGATTGTTTCCACGTTGCAATAGGGGCACTGTGGCGACCTCGAACCTTTCAGGACAGATTCATGGGTAACAATCGTATGTCCAATACGTAGTCTAATAAACGCTTTTAAATTGTTGCTGCTGATCTTCTCCGGAAATATAGGTTTCTCGCCATTTACGTTAACGTTTGCGTAGTGGTGCTTGAAATCCTTCCATTTTTCCAGCTTAGTTTTGTATATTTGTTCACTTGCCAGCCTGTAGATGTCTTTTTTCGAAAAGGCATTCTCCACAATAAGGGGTTCTTTAGCTGCAAGCTTTACTCTTTCGTCAGCTGCTTCGTTGCCAGGGATTAAAACATGGCTTGGAACCCACATAATTTTTATTGATTTTCCTCCTTTGTAAAGTGCATTGCGTATTAATCTGGTCAGGTTATCCATATTAGACATATTAAGGATAGATTGTATAGCCGATAAGTTGACTGAAATTATGTATTTCTCCTTGGTACCGAGGGCATATTGCGTTGCTCAGAGTATAGCGTTGGCTTCAGCAGTGTATACTGAGCAGAAGGATAGTAAATGACCAGCTGTGATTGTCTCGTGATTTGCGTTTACAACAGCGAAAGCTGTGGTGGAGTGGACCTTTGTTCCATCGGTATAGATGAATTTCCATCCCTGATCTTCGAAACTTGCTGCGAGCTGTTTGAATATTTGTCTATAGACTGATGGTGGTGTACTGCTCTTGTTTCTTTTGCTGATCTCGAGGATAATAGACGACTCTAAGTTCATCCAGGGCGGAGGATAGTTGATATTAATCTTGACCGGTTTAGTGGGCATTCCTATATTCTTCGCTGCATCTATGCACCTTGTTATGGTTGATGTGCGACACAATACATTTTTGCTTCTAACCACTGAGCTGGCTGCATCGAATACAACTGCGTTCTTGCATTGAAAAAGTTTATGGATTAGCTTTAAAGTGTTTTGTTTGGTTCTCTCTTCCACAGTAGGGAGCCCTGTTTCTGTGAGAGTGCATCATACTGGAGACGTCGGGAAAGCGCGTATACATCTTCGGGCTGCGGTATGATTAATGTGACCAACTATTTCTTAGCTCAAAGAAGTACAGGTTACGTTGGGCTAAGTTAACGTCGCGAGCCGATTACGAAATATCGAATGCGGCTAATTTCGATCGCTGAGAGCTTAGTGTTTGTTCAGAAGTGCCCGCCAAAATGCTTCCATCTTAGCCTCACGAAAGTTGGACAGTCTAAAAGAAAGTGTGGAGATGATTCCTCTTTATCTTCCTCTTGACAGCTGATACAAAAGGATCAGTCGAAATTCCTAGTATCACTGCATGATTATCAATCGCACAATGTCCTATCAGAATCCCTATCACTAGCCATTGAGAGATAACGTGTTTTAAAGTGCCCTATAAAAATATTTGCTGCAGCAGCGAAACGTCTTCTTTTCCTTTTTTATGTCACAAAAGGACCCGGTTTCCCTTAGCCTAATAGCGGTTCGTGCTGCGACAATTCTGTCTGCGATATCCGTAGGTACCGTGTTCAACATATGTATGTTAAGCTCCAGTGTAGGTGTGGTTCCTAATGCTCCGTCAATTCCTGTTTTACAAGTGTAGCCTTCTCTATTGAGTTTCACCAGACAAGGGCTCCTTGAAACAATATAGGCATAAATCAGGCTTCCTAGAGCTAATGAACTAATTTGGGCGAGAGACCCCACCTTTTACCGATAGCACCCCTACAGCGGTACAAGGCAACCGATGCCTTTCCTACCCTTTTCTCAATGTTAGGCTTCTACGACAGCCGCCGTTGATCGCCCTCCTAGTTACCTGGTTCAGGTAACCTTGAGCCAAATCAAAATAGGCGATTACCCAACAGCCCACTTTTTCCAATTCCTCTAAAAGGTCGTTTACAACCGCAATACAGAGCAGGGGAGAGGGAACACCACCTTGTGGAGTGGTTCTATTGGCTCTGCACTGATTGCAGACGCTCCCCCACCCCGCCGCGAGTGTTCTGTCACGAAGTAAGCTTATTTGGTTGGTTTCAACCCCTAGATTATGAATATACTTGACTATTGCCTCCGGAGTGACATTGTTAAAGGCTCCTTCGATATCGAAGGCCCCTACTGCATAATCTTCATGCGTGGAGGCTTCCTCTGAGCACTTTAGCAATGTGTGCAGAGCGGTATTCACCGACCTTTTCTTGCAATAAGCATGTTGAGATCTTGAAAGACAGTCACCAGTAATCGCATTTCTTATGAACAGGTCTATCAGTCTCTCTAGCGTTTTTAGCAAAAACGGGGAAACATGAGAGCCTTTTCCGGCCTTCGGGATGAACGCAAAACTGACTATCTTTCAAACCTTGGGGATGTACCCGGTCCTCATGCAGTTCGCATAAATAGGATCAAACCAATTGCACGACACCTTCAGAGCTGCAAAGCTTCGCAGGTGTGATGCCATCGGTCCCCGGCGATTTTAATGGTTTGAACGAATTTATCGCCCAGCCCATGTGACGGACCGGGGAAGAGATCCTGTTACCAGTTAGCGACAATTTTCGAAACGCTATCGTTCTTTTTGAGGCAAACACATTTATATCCTAGCGATCCGGAAATTGTCGCTGACTGGTTACAGAATCTCCCTCCTGTAGCACAAAATATCGCAAAGAAGTACATTTGACTGTACTTCGAAGTACGAAGTACAAGAGCGAAAAAAGAAGTACTATACTTCCGAAAGAAGTACGGTTGGTCACATTAGGTATGATATGGTGCAAGTAAGCGTGTCATATTAGTTGCGTTCTAGATGCTTCACGGTATTCACGAAATTCACGATTTGCAGGAACAGCTGTTTTCTTCATTAATAAACCTTATGGGTGGTGGTCACCTGGAACGACTTCCTGTAAAAACCTGCAAATCGTGAAGCATCTGGAACGCAACCATTGCTGCGCGCACAGTGCCCGTAGATAGTTAAGCCATAGTCGAGTTTTGAAGTGATCAGAGCTTTCGTTATATTTATTAGTGTTGTGGGGTGCAGTAGACAGTGTTTTGACGATAAAAACTTTATAATATTCAATCTTTTATCTAAATTAGTTCTTAAGTATTCTGCATGGTTTTTATACGTAATGCAGCGTTTTTGCTGCATTTAAAATGCAACATTTAGCACTTTCGAACATATGTTTTCGAAAAGCGTTCATGCTATAGCATTTAGCAAATGTACATTTACGCGAGTTCGAAATCGTATGCTTTTGACAAACAGCCGTGTTCCAGTCTCTTATTTAGATGCGTATATATTACGATCAATTCTCACGCAGGAGATAATATGCAAAAACCCTACTGAAAAGGAAAAAATTAATTTTAAACCAAAAATTCAATACAAAAAATTGTATTGTTTTAACCATAACCGAACATTTGTTTGTGTATATATTCATTTGTCGGTGCTGTCAATTAAAATTTCCTCACTTAATTAGGAAACAAACCAAACAGAATTGATTACAAATTGATCCAGATTTCTATCAGCATCAAATCGATGTTGAATTTGCTTAACTTTTCTTTATCCAAATATGTAATGCAAAATAAAAGAAATCTCGATCGG